TTCCCTAGGAGCCAAGGGGTAATTTCATTTTTGTTTTGTTGTTGTTGTTGTTTGGCGTTTCAGCGAATCAGTCCTGCGCACATAAAGGACGCCGGGGCCGAGGAAGAGCCCTTTCTGTCCCCATTAGAAATTCATTCTCTTGGTCCCTAGAAGGAGGCAGGAGAATGGAAAGCCTGACAATTAAGCATCGCGCCCGCTCCCCACCCCCACCCCCACATTTTCCCTGGTCCTCCCTCGGGCGTGGCAGGCGAGCTAGGAGACCTGCCAGGTTCTCGCCTCCGGGGGTGATCTCTGCTGCTCCTTCATTAGCAGATCTACTCCCAGCCGACTGTATTTCATGTGCAGATTCCGCACCGTTCATGGTGCGTCAGCGCGGCTCTCTGGCTGTTGGGGTTGAAATACTTGAGTGAACCGTGCCAAATAGATTTGTCAAGTCTGCTGCAGTTTGATTCGATGCCATGAACGGGAGGCGGGGTGAGGAGGGGACTTGGGGGCAGTGCGGGGAGAGGCTTCGTCTACGCCCCCGGCGCTACCACTGAGCTTCTCTTTGTAGCTGCGGGATGGTGGGCGCTGTGCTTGTGGTGCTCAGTGGCGGGCTTGAAAGCAGAATTCAGCCAGCAGGACCTGTGAGCAAAGCCCAGCAGAGGTGGAGGCAACAGGCTGCTCTACTCCGTGGGGCAGGGGGAGGGTTTGCAGACACGAACCAGGGCACAGGGCGTGAGGAGGGGATGGTGATGTTTGGGGCAGAAATGTGGGAACTTGATTTCAATCCCCTGGTCACTGTCAACACCAGTACAGTATACCAAAGACCACGGAACTGGGGAAGTCAGAGAAAAACACGATTAATGAGCACTCAGGGTAGTGGAGGATGGCTGTGCTATTCCCTTGCAAAACAGTATTTACAGTTTGGACCCAGACTGGGCTAAGGCAAGGCCTGAGCCTATGGGGGGAAGGGGGAAGACTTCCTTGTGGGCGGGAAGCAAGGACCACCGAGGAACTCTTTTGCAGTCTCCCACAGCCTGTGAGCAGCCTCTTCTTAGGCTCTTTCCATCCAACAGGTAACGATGAGGCTGCCGATGAGAAAGGCATTACACTGTGGCCGGGAGTGTTGCAGATGTCCTCCCGGCAAAACACAGCCCAGTTACGCAGGCCACATGTACGGCACATCCCCAAATCCTCATTCAACTCCACATGCCATAAAAAACGGAACCTATGGGCTTCCCTGGTGGCGCAGTGGTTGAGAGTCTGCCTACTGATGCAGGGGACGCGGGTTCGTGCCCCGGTCCAGGAAGATCTCACATGCCGTGGAGCGGCTGGGCCCGTGAGCCATGGCTGCTGAGCCTGCGCGTCCGGAGCCTGTGCTCTGCAACGGGAGAGGCCACAGCAGTGAGAGGCCCGCATATCTCACACACACACACACACACACACACACACACACACACACACACAAACGGAACCTATGATTTTCCTTTGGGGGGACCCTCCTTACGCGTATTTATGGAGTAACCACAGGCAGAGAGCTCTTCTGCCTGTTAGAGCCCATATCTAGTCCACGTGCCCCCTTATATTATACAAATTGCTTCACATATATTTCTTCAGAAACCACAAGCATAAAGCTACTGCTTTGGTTTCACCAGCTGTATTAATAACACCCCAAACATAGACATAGTGTTGTAAATACAGTAGTAGAAGGTTTGTGTGTGTGTCTGTAATTACAGGCACAATTATGAACACACTGACCAAGGGAGGGCCGTGGAGAAAGATGGGCGGAGCTGGAAGGCAGGAGGCCTTGGCCAAGGTCCTGCTCACCTCTGAGATGCTGCTTCCGTGAGTCTGCACTGGAGGCAGTGAGACTGAGGCTGGTGTCAGGGCAGGAGGATAGAGGCCATGCCCTTATATGTCTAAGCAAAAGCCCTTGATTTCAGTTCTCCTTTATTCGGTAAGCATGGGCATCTTTCTTGCTGATACTGCTCTGGTCACCTTGCTCTTAGTCACAGTGTTGCTAGGCTGTTCTGACGTATTTGGAAGAAATCCCGGCTAAAAGAAAGGGTCTGTCGGATGCTACCTGTGTCCTGATGGCCAGATTGAGGATGGGAGGGTGAGGACGGAGATCAGGTAAGGTTTGGGTCCAAGAGTTTTCAGAATTACCCTGTAATGAGTAACAGAAATGCACTAAGCTCATCATATTAATGTAATGATGACTTCCAAGGGGCTTGGAGAACCCTCAGGCACTGGCCCATTTGCTTCAGAATTTAACAGTGTTTCAGACTGAGGCTCTCAAGGCAAAGTAATTTGCCCCAGGGACATGGGGAACCCTGGTGTCCCTTGGAAGGCACCGGTCACCAGGCTTTGACTTCAGGCCGGTGTTTCCATAATCCGATCCAGGTCTGGCTCACCATCTTGCATCCAGAGGGAAATTGGCTTCCTCCACGTTCCGTCCACGGGTCGAGAGGTGTGCATATTCATGGAGATCTGAAGTCAAGTCGTGCTTGGAGGGTATGGCTCCAAGCACGGGGCTCAGCATTTTGGATTTGGGGCCCCATCATAGAATCCTGAGATGTAGCGTTGAATGAACTTGCTCTGCGTTTGATTTGGCCACAGCCCTTCAGAACAAATAAACCCCCGCTTCAAAAATCCTCTGTACTACATTTATTTTCCAAATTAAAATGAATTGTTGTGAAAGCCATTTGAGAATTTAAAACCCTC